CAGGTAGAGTCCTGGCGGAGGCGTGTGCGAGGGCACCGGAGCTTGTGCCAGGTGAGCGCGCTGAAGCCTTCAATACAGCCGCATCATCCCGGCCGGAGTGACGTTTATCCTGGCCGACTGACTCCCTGGCTCGGCTGGGCGGAGGAGGGGCGAGTCCCGGGGGCTTGGGTCGAGCAGTGGCCTGCGTGAAAGCTGCCCTGCCTCTGCCCACCTTGCTTGCCACGTGCGCACCCGGCTTCAGCCCTACTGGGTGCCTCACTTGCAGCATGGGGGCCTCTGGCCTCCCCTCCCCCTCCCCCTCCCCACGGGTTCCTGAGTGGGGAAACGCTGTGGCTCTTCTCTCTCCCGCGTGAGGAGGGTGGCAGAGATGCCTGCCTGCCTGCCTGCCTGCCGGGTGTATCTCTTGGAAGATGTCTGCCGTCACAGGGCCTCTAATTTTGCTTTGGTCCGCCGCCTTGTTCACCCTCGCCAACAATTCTGCTCCTGGAAGGGTTAGCTTTCCCAACTGATGCCCTTTCCAGCTCTGCCACCCTCAGCCGGGGCCCCGCCTGCCCATCCACCTGCTCGCTTGCCCGCCTGCCCCCGTGGCGGAGGGTTTGCTTCAGTCCGCGTGCGTGGTGGAGCGTGGAGTTCATCTCCTCCTCCCGGTTGCACGCTGGAAGGGACTGCTTGTTATTCACAAGCTGAGCTCCTGCTTCCGCCTCCTGGCAGATTTGAGAACGTGGCCCTCTCCTTGGCGGCTTCACGCCTCCTACCCGCCACCCGCTACCCCACGCCTGGCCAAATTTCAGTGCCAGGCTTTGTCTCAGAGAAACAGGGAGGGGTGCCAGATATCCCCGCGTGCCTAATCCAGATCCGTCACGAGCTCATTAGCTGATCTTGGGCAAGCAGCCTGTTCTCTGCCTCAGTCTTCCCATCTGTAGCATGGGAGCGACGGTTCAGATTGGCATCTCCTAGGTTGTCCTGAGGGGGCGGTGAAGCGTGCTCGTGCCTGCAGGGTGAGCGGCCCAGGCCCAACCAGGCTTCCAGCACTGGGTCTCCTGCTCTGGGCATCCGGGCTGGCGAAGGAGGTTGTGCTTGGGGAGACCCCTTTTTCTCCCAACGATGCTGAAGGAGCCGCGGTGGCAGCTGGGGGGGTGCGAAGCAACAGCCCTGCTCAGGGCCACCAGTGAGGCCCAAAGATGCCAACTTCTGGGGCCCATTTTCCTGCCCAACTGTTAAACCCGTTCCGAGCTGAAGCCTCACGACCAGGAACTGAATCCACCTGAGGAGTTTTGCGGCTTGGCCGCGAGCCCGTTTTGGCTAAATTGCTGCCTTGTTTGGAACGGGGCCCTTGCTCACCCAGCCAAAGGAGTCAGGTCCCCCAAGCCCTTCCCCACTCCGGCCTCCGTACGCACACCCTGAACCCAGAGCCTCCTCTCTGCACGCTGTGATCCACCCCTTCCAGGGACCCCTTCTCGCCCGGTTTAGCTGAGGCCTGCGTTGCGTTCCCAGGAAGGAGGACCCTCTCGGTCGCTTTGTGTGCATGTTATCGTGGGGGGGGTGCATTGGGGCGAGGGGATGTGCTCAGACGCAGCTGGGGGGTGTCTGCCGTGTTGTCTGCAGAGCAAAACCTGTTGCTTGGCTGAGTGGAGGAAGTCTGAGTTTCTGGGAAGCGTGGGGTGGGCAGAAGCGTGTCGCTGATGTCGCTGGGCAGCGCAACGTGGGGAGGAAGCAAACAGGCGGCCGCTGCAGTAGCTGGAGACGCTGTCCACGGTGCTACTTGCATCCCGCCGCCTCTGCTCTTGCCCGGCCGGAGCAGCGCCTGGCACTCTCCAGCAGGGGGCACTTCCTGACCGCAAGCCAGCCACGTTGCCTGCCAGGTGCCAGGCCAGGCCTGCTGGGCTGGCAGTTCACCTCCCAGTGTTGGCCTAACCGCGACTCTGAGGTCTTGAGAGTGGGAGGTTATGGGCTGCACCAGGTATCGACTTGCGCATGCACAGTGCCCGGGGTTGTCTGTTGGGGCCAACCCTGCCAGGGGAGGGATGATTTTGGCTGTCCTAAACGGGCAGGACTTTCTCCTTGCTGAATTGCGCTTGGACTGAGGCTTTTCCACCTCGTGACAAAGAGATTCGGCTGGTCCTTCAGCTTGGGAGTTTGAGAATTATGGTGGCCCTGCACGCAGGCTCGTTGGGGCAACATGGCTGGTTGGGGAATTCTGGGAGTTGAAGTCCGCACCTCTTCAAGTTGCCAAGGTTGAGGAACTCTGCTGTAGGTGTTTAAGGGTCGATCCTGTACCTTCTTGCGTGCTGTAAGCCGAGTGTAGGGTGCGTGCCTCCTGCCCTGTTTGTTTATGTGGGAATCCTGGCGGGAGGAGGTCAGGGCCAGCGTCATCTCAAGAGTTTCCAGGCTGAGCGTGTTCCTTGCCCGAGCCTGTGGTCTGTCCGCCACCTTCCCCGCCTCGTATTTCTGCCCCCGTGAGGCCATGTGGGGCTGGAATCCACCGCAGCGAACCAAAGTTTCCTCTCCCACCCCAAGAGAAAGTAGGATCCAGCCCGGCCTCTGCGATGCCAGGGACAGCAAAAGGCTCAGCCGCGGGCGATGCTCCAGGCCTTCCTGCAGCTGCTCTCGGCCAGGCCGCGAAAGGCGGGGGAGACCTCGCTCGCCGAGGGCGCTGGCAGAGGCTGGCACCAGCTGAAGTCCTCGGCCCAGGGAGGCTGACCGGCCCCTCTGCCAGCCCGGGATGCTGGCGAAGCAAGTGCCCTCGGGGCTGGCTGGCTGGCTGCTTGTGCTGGCTGGAGCTGCCCAACCAGTTTGGGCTGGAGGGGCGGGCCAGCAGGGCCCTCCCCCTTTGGTCTGTCGGGCTCCAGAGCGTGCGGGCAGCACCAGAGCTGGCAGTCCCACTGAGCTCTCCAGGAGCCGGGATGGGCTCCCGCAAGCGAAGCTTCACCTCTGTGGCCTATGGCGGGGGGGGGGGGGGG